TTTGTCTAGCAATTTTTGAATGTGTTCCATAGCAGTTTATTGTTCAGTTGCAATTTTTTAGCAAGAGTCTTATATCTAGGTTTGGATTCACATTCAGAGTCATCTTCACTGGAGGTTTGAAAGTAAGCATCTCGTGGGTTTAGCTTGGCACCTTGTGCCCTGAAGCAGTAGGTCGGAGCAGAGTCGTCCTCATCATCGGCTTCAGCGTCGGCGACGTGACCATTGTCTTTACTGTTGAAGATGGACTTGGCGGCGAATGCTGAGGCTAGAGCAAGGCTTGCCACGCCTGAATCAGACTCCTCCTCAGACTCCACTTCCGCCTCCTCAGAAGTAGACTCCTCCTCTGGATCCATCTCCTTGCCAATGAACGCACGTGCCTTGCCAGATGAACTCTTCTTGTGAGACGAAGACTTTGATGAAGACTTGGAAGAAAACTTTGAAGATTTCTTCTTCTTCTTGTCATCAGAGTCATATTCCTTGCTCTTCTTCTTTTTATTGGATTCCTTGTCCCATTGAGGACATTCAGATATGTAGTGGCCTAGCTTATTGCATTTATGGCATGTTCTCTTCTTGTAGTCACGAGAGGAAGCCTCATCGTTTCTTGAGCTGAATCTTGAAGACTTTCCAAAGCGATTCTTCTTGGATAACTTTTGGAACTTCCTTACGAGCATTGCTAGCTCTTTGCCAATGCCTTCAGGATCACCAGAACTGCATTCAGATTCTTCTTCAGATGAGGAAACAACTTTTGCCTTCAAAGCATGGGATCGGTCATAGTTGGGGCCATAGATATCTCTCTTCTCAGATAGCTGAAACTCATGTGTGTCGAGCCTCTCAAGTATGTCAGACCGATCGAGATCTTTGAAGTCGGGGCGTTCTTGAATTATCAGGGCCAAAGTGTCAAATGAGCTGTCAAGTGATCTCGGTAGCTTCTTCACAATTTCATGCTTGGTGATCTCAGTAGGGCCGAGTGCGCGAAGCTCATTTGCGATATTAGTGAGGCGATTGAAAGTGAGCTAGACATTCTCATTGTCATATGTCTTGAAGCGGTTGAAGAGATTGTGAAGAACATCAATCCTTGAGTCTCTCTGAGTTGAGACGCCTTCGTTGACCTTGGAGAGCCAGTCCCAGAACAGCATCGCAGTTTCTAGAGCACTCACACGACCATACTGTCCTTTGGTCAGATGACCACAAATGATGTTCTTGGCGGTCGAGTTCAGTTGCACTAACCTCTTGACATCAGCAGCGGTGACACCTTCACCGACCTTGGGAACGCCCGTCCTAACGACATACCAGAGGTCGATGTCAATGGCTTCAAGATGCATATGCATCATATTATTCCAGTAGGGGTAATCAGTGCCATCGAAGACGGGGCACACATCGGAGACCTTGATTACCCCTGTAGTCGACATAGCTAAAACTCCAGGTGGTTAAACCAAATCACACAAAACAAGGGAGCACCTTGCTCTGATACCAATTGAAAGTGCTAGTTATCGACTAGAGGGGGCTGAATAGGCAATTTTTATGAACTTCTTCAAAACACGAGGTCTTTGAAGACAATCAATCAAGTTGAAGTAACATGATATGCAACAGAAGATAAACTACACTAGATAGACCATAGTCAAGTAAGCAATACAGAGAAAGCACGAAGACAAAATGGCAGCTAGGTAGAATAGATCGGAATGGAAGATAGAATGAAGCCAAACAGGTAATAGTCTTCGCATAGTGAGGCCAAACATATCAGGCAAGCAAGCAATGACTTCATGAAGACGAATTGAAATGTAAAGAAGGTAGGAGATAGAACCAGTAGCTTGGTGAAGACAAGGATTTGGTAGACAAGTTCTAGTTGCTGTGACAACTGTACGTCTGGTTAGGGAGGCTGAGATTGAACTCAGAAGACTGTGTCTTCACCTTATTCCCCTTGAGCTAAGGATCCCGGTCCTCGCCCAATTACTCTGGTAAGTCTTCAAGGTAGACTTCCAAACCTTCACAGACTTCGTTCATCGACGATCCACAATGACTCTTGGATCCTCAAAACGTGACACCTAACTGGCTGGAGGATGCACAGTCCTCAAGTGTAACAGGTCTTCAGGCCACGCGGGCAGAAAGACTTCAGTGATGCCTAACACTCTTTTGCTCTAGGTGTTTTGGGCTTTGTCCTCGCAAGGATCTCTCTCTCCCAAAGGATTCGGAGGTGGGTTGCTCTCAAATGACAAAAGCCGTGCACTAACTCTGAGCAGCCACCAATTTATGATGTAGGGGGTGGGCTATTTATAGCCAGGAGGCAACACGACATGATATGTCCGAAATGACCCTTGGTCACTAAGGAACCGACACGTGTCCAATGGTCGGATTTCAAACATACGAGGCAGCTTGGCTTGGGCTACAAGGAAAGCTGACTCATCCAACTCTGGATAAGATTTGCTCTCATTGTCTTCACTTGAAGACATAGGATTTTGGTTGAACATCACATCAATCATCTGACTTTGTTCACTTGTACCCCACTTAACACTTCGGTGGTTCCTATGACTCAATAAAGAAGAAGAGAAAACTACAAAAGAAGGAAAAAATTGTTTCCGGTGGCTCTTTGTTTGTTTGGGGGTTTATGGGAATATATGGAAGTGAAATTAGGTCAAACAGAGCTACGTGGGACCCACAAGCTCAGGCAGCGCACTCGCGCCGTGTGAGCTTGTGACTCTCCCGTAGATCTTTTGGCCATCTCATGAATGTTCCAGGATCCCTTCTGGTCAAGAAAAAAGCATCATAAAGTTTCATCGTGTTTGGACTTCGTTGGTATTGATACTTTGAAAAGCCATAAACATGCAAAAAATAAGAACTGGCAGCGAACACTAGATTAATAGGTTAATCCCCCCCAAAATGACATAAAATTGCATATAAAATATCTAAGATTCATAATATAATAGCATGAAACAATAAAAAATTATAGATACGTTGGAGACGTATCAGCATCCCCAAGCTTAATTACTGGTCGTACTCGAGTAGGTAAACGATAAAAACAGATCTTTTGATGTTGAATGCTACTAACATGTCTATCATGTAATCTCCTTACGGTATAAATATTGAGAAACGATGAAGTAATTGATATCAACATAATAATATTCATGAATAGAAGAACATAACCATTACTTTTTCAAAATATACGATGCTCAACGAATGTTATCCCTACTCATTGAATTATGTAAGCATGGCATGACTCTGCCTTCACCGCATTAAGAGAAATCATGAGCACCTCAATGCCAAACCAAGCAATTGGATCATACTTTTTAACGCGCTTCAGCATTTTCAACTCCACTCAATACACGAGCGTGGATCATGGACATTAGCACTATGGGTGGAATAAAATGCGGTGCTAGAGATATATAGGAGAAGTAAAAAAGGAAGAAAGGCTTGCATCAACTCGGTGGATTGTTAGGCAATGGAGAGGCCTTACATTTGATATCAATGCGTGAATTAGGGATTGCTATGCAACAGATGCATTAGAGCTTACAATCACACTGTCATGCATGCATACATGTAAAGTACATTGGTGGGGGGAGCCACTAATAGAGAGTAGAAATACGAAGGTGGGAAATCCAAAAAAATGCAATACAAAGATATTTGGCCCACATAGTGCTAGATGACAGCTCCCTATTGGAGGCCACCTTGCCGGTACCTAGCGCAACAACACAATTTTTTGTTTCAGTTTGTGGTTATTTCAATAAGTGTGCTTCACCAATCCAATGCTTAAGAAACTACATGGAAAGTTCTCAGTTGAGTCAATGTATAGAGCGTTGCTCCAGTCAGATGTGCCAATTGATAATAATAAGATCTGTAAGATAAAGATACCATTAGAGAATAAAATATTTGCATGGTATCTTCGTCGCAGAGTCATTCTTACTAAAGATAAAGCTTATTAAGAGGAATTGACATGGAAGTACACAACGTGTTTTTCTCAGCATGATGAGACAATAAAACACTTGTTCTTCCAATGCAAATTGGCTCATTCTATATGATCAGTCATCCAAATAGTTTCTGGCTTGTATCCTTCTTGTAGTGTTGTTAGTATATTTGGTAATTGGTTACATGTCATGGATCACAGGTTTAGAATTATTCTCAGGGTGGGAGCGCTTGTCGTTATCTGGTCGCTTTGGCTATTTGGAATGATAAGGTTTTTAAAGGTAAAAGTACTTCTCTTATGCAGGTTATCTACAGATGTACCAGGACACTTCATTTATGGTGTGGAGAACTAAAACTTTGTTTACGGAGGTATGTACACGATTTCAGGCTATAGTGAGGGACAACTTTACCCAACATGGATGACAACATGATCTTAGGATTGGACCCCCCCCCCTCCGGTTTAGACGTTATACAGACTCTACATGTTTACTTGCATCCCGCCTTTTTTAATATTCTGTTTTCAGAGTGAACATCGCTTGGTTGTGTGCATTTTAGTGATGCAGAGGCCGAATGTAACGATTAAAACTTTTAAGGCCTCATTCGGTTTAGAGGAAACCAAGACGTTGGAATTGAGAGTAGTATAGGAATTTGATAGGATGACACTTGCCATTATAAGGAATTGACTTGCCTCATTTCTACGCATAAAATGATCTTTGAGTAGATGTGTAGTTTCCTCAAAAACACAGAAAATGAATAATATTCCTATGAAATTCATGTACGCATTTTCTATGAACCAAATGCATTTATAGGAAATTTTTCCTATGGATTCCTTGTTACTCCCTCCGTCCGGAAATACTTGTCATCAAAATGAATAAAAAAGGTGTATCTAAACGTATTTTAGTTCTAGGTACATCCCTTTTTATTCCTTTTGATAACAAGTATTTTCGGACGGAGGTAGTACCAATTAGGCTTAAGTAATAAGGTGCCTCGTACCAAAAAAGATAAAGATTGCGGTATTAATTACAAGTAAAGTACATTAATCAGTATCACATAATATCCTGTTCTCGAGAAAATAGTCTCACATAATATCCTGGACATGTCAATTGTCAGTTATCACGCTCTAGCTTGCGCGGCTGGGGCACGGGTGTGCAGCCCTGCTGGCTACCGGCGGCGTGCATCTTCATGGTGTCAAGAAAGCAACGGCGCCCTTGCACGGGTAGCGGCGACGACCCCTCGTCCACGCGCGTCTGCGCGAGCGATAGCGAGTATCCGGCACATCCCCGCGGCGGCAGTGGCGCAAGGTGGTCGTGGACGCCGTCGTAGGTGGTGATGACGAAGCGCTCGTCATCGCGATCCCGCTCCACCCGCTTCTTCACGCGGCACCCCTCGCTGGAGCAACGGTAGTAGTTCCTGCCCGCCATCATCGCCCGTCGTTCCATCAGAGAAGAGAATCAAAATGCGTATCCGCGCGGCTGGGCTTGGGCTGCATGCCGTGCGTGCGTGCGTGCGTACCTTGGGTTTGGGCTGTTCTTGACCATCTTCTTGCCGTACTTCCTCCACCGGTACCCGTCGTCCAGCACCTCCATCTCCGACCTCGTCTTGAACGCGATCTTGCTGCCTTTGCTCCTCGCGTCGCTGCTCGTCAAGCTCCTGGACAATTCGGCGACAGAATAACGAGGTTCAGACTTGGGAGCCACGCACCAGTAATGATAATGAAGGGAGACAGTTTCGATCTATAGTAACAAATACTTACGTATTGATATTGTCGAGTCCTTGTGAACTACTAGTAGTACTTGCTGCTTTGCCGCTATGGTGGCTGTCGGCCTGGGTTGGCGGCTGCTGCTGCTGTGCGTGCAAGGGGTAGGAGGCTGTTGCTGCCTCCGCCAGGGAATAATACTCCTCGCCGAAATCAAAGCAGAATGATGATAGGTAGTTGGCGGCGGCGGCCATGTCGTCGTGGTCACCTCCATCCGCATACCCACCGATCTGCTCGCCGGGACTCACGGAGAGGAGGGACGAGTAGGAGGACATTGCGACAAGCCCACAAACCAGACAGACTCGCCTTGTTGAGCATGCGCAAGTGGTGAGAGCATGGCAACTCGTGTTCTCTTGACGAGCACAAAGCTATAAACGGCAACCAGATGACGCACACCGAGCCGGTCCGTGTTCAAACAGATGACGCACGAAGCTCAGTGGGAGCACACGAGCCAAGACTTTGGCTGGAAAACTAGATCGCTGCCGCGCGTCTCCGGATACGCGACAACGACCAAGACGTACGGGACGGCTTCTAGCAAGCTGCTATGAGGCAACAGCTAGTGGTATACTGGTATCATCACCCGTCCGCAATCGCTTTCTGTCCGGGCGCTAGCTGTATGATGTGGGATCCATCTGCGAAGGTACCAACTCAGGCAAGTCGTCGCCGTGGACCGATGACTTTGACGGCGGAGCCGCCTGCTCTGTTCGCGTGGCAGCGCGGAGGCCAAAAGGCGCGCGGACAAGAGCGACGCCGTGCTCCCGGTGGCAGGCAACACCGACTGGTCTTGGATGCTCGGAAGGATCACGGAATTCGGTTACGAACCTGACCACGTGTTCCTCATCCGCTTCATGTCTGATTTAAGCTCGAGGTGCTTAGCGTACGGTATCTGTTATTAAGTCTCAGTCGAGTGCATGGAGATTCGTGCTGGACAGAGCATCGTCCAGCGGCTCTCGCAGCATTTTGTCTCATCATTTGCAATGTGTCTTCCTACCGATTGCAACATCCATTATGGCCTCGTCAATTGTAGTACGGCGTCTAACTGCTCGCAACATCAGCCATCCATGCTTGCAACATGTGGTCACACCGGTTGTGGCGTCTCTTGCATTGCTCGCAGCATTTTTGTTGCCGTTTAATTTGCAGCATCTAGTTGTGTCGCTTGTAACACCACAACTACACTAACATCACCCGACTAATGCTACGTTAAGCTCCTGGTGCGCCGGGGTTATGCCGAGGATTCCATCATGTGGAAGCACGCCTCAGGAGAACACTGCTTCTTCTGCCTACAATGCGCAATTTCTATCCATCATTCGTTCTGACATGCGCAAGGTACTTTGGAAGACTTGGGCACCACCGAACGTAAAATTCCTTGCATGGTTGGCAATCCAAAACAGGATATGACGGCTGACCGTTTGGCCAGGAGGGGATGGCGAAACTGTGGCCCTTGCCCTCTTTGTAGGAGGGAGCAGGAAACCGTCGAGCGTCTTTTTTTCAACTGTCGCTACACGCTGAGACTATAGGGCTTGGTGAAGGACTGGCTTCAATTCGTCAGCTTGGATGTTTCAGTTTGGGCAAACTACAAGAGCATCAAAGATTGGTGGTTCGACATGGTCTCCACCCAAAAGATCCATGGAAGGGCAATGCCTTCCCTCACCATGCTGGTATGCAAGACAATATGGGATGAAAGGAACGTGATGCGGAGCATCCTACGACCATCCCCATGTACACTACGACCACTCCCCAAGCCCCAAGGAGACATATGACAAGACCTCGAACATATGCCATTGGACACAAGGTGAACTCGCTCCTCTCCGAATCGTCACTTTCCACATGTGAGACATGGCTACTACCTCAAACGTATGTGCTATGCATGACCAGGAACCAGGAGGAAGACCAAGGAACAACTAAGAGCATTGGACAAGATGGCGAGGACACCAAGCGCGAGGAACAAGAGAAAGGGTTGACAGCAAGTCACAGTCACCGGACGACCGGTCCTTACAGGACGTCCGACGCCTAGAAGATCAGCTAGCCAGAACGACTACAGCCGAGGCACCCTACAGCGCCCGAATGACCGCCGGACGTCGGACGTCCGACAACCACCAGCCACCGGATGACTGTCGGCCTCCAGATATCCGACACCACCTTTACAGAACAAAAATGTCGGAAGTCCGAACCTTACCAGACGTCCGGACCCCTGCGAGCCACCGGACGACCTGTAACGGTCGGACGTCCGACGCCTGTCTGTGTACAGTGTTGTGGGCCAAGATCCATTTTGCAATCGTAGAGCAATTTGCTATCTCCGATCATATGATTGGTACATCCACTATCAATCACCCATTTTACTCCACCGGAGAAGGCAACCTACACACAATTATGACTTGGTTAGAGGCACCCATTTTGCAATGGGACCTCTCAAGTTAGTCACAAGGATCTTAGGGACCCAAATAGCATAGAATCGAAATGTATTTCGAGGACCAACAAATTTTGCATAAACTTCTCCATCCTTAGTCTTACGAAGTACATAGGATGGAGGCATGAACTATTTTGGCTTGTTGAGAGTGGGCATGCCCCTTTGGCGTTTCCACTAACAACCTTACCTTTCTCCTTGTGCCCTTCTCGTACAAATGTTTCTTTTAGAGGGGTGGTGCACTTTTGAGAAGACGTCTTATTCTTGATTGTGCTTGGATGAAACCCGAGTCCCTCTTTGGCAAACACCTCATTGTGTTGGCTCAATACCTTATTAAGGTTGTTTTGTCCTTGAGCACATGTTATGACACCTTTCTCGATTTGAACCTTGAGAAAGCGATTCTCCTCAAGAATCGATGCTGGATCACTACTAGAGTTAGTAGTACAAGCATCAACATTGATAATATGTAGCGACCAGACCTCAAACGGCCAAGTCTCAGTGCATCAGCGTCATTCCTGGATCATAATGCTAACACGCACAATACTCGAGGAATTATAACAGAGTTTCAATCACACACTTATTACATCGAGTGGTCATAAAGAGTATGATTACACAAAAATATCATGGCTGAAGGTGATCTTCATCCTTCTCCAGTAGTACAACAATCTCTTCCTCGTATCCATCACGTGTAGACTTGAGTTCCTCCTCCAACTCGTTGTTTCTCTTCACCATTTTCTTGATCTTCTTCATGTGAATAATTTGTTGATTCTCCTGGCAACGAATATGATCTCCCATCTCTTGAATGTAAGCTGCAATTGATCCATCCATCCTGGTACGAATCATCTCCCATTTGTCATCTCGGCGGCCACATATCTGATAAATGGTATCTCCAGCTCCTTGTGATACACCTCACATATGCGTCCAAAGGTGATATGCGCTGCCATGCTCTTTCCTATACTCCAGCTTGGTGCATCCAGGTAGAAATCAATAGGCTCCGTTGTTGGCGCAAAGGTCCTCCCAGGTACCCAGACTTTGATCTTTCAACGCTCCTCTTCCGGTACAGATGTAGAGAAAGTCCCCGTGAAGCTTGGTAGTCTGACGTTCAAATACTTAGTGACTTCCTTCAAGTGCTTCCCAAAAGGGGTGTCGCCAACCGGCTGAGTGAACTTGTTCCCGGGATCCGCCATCTATAGAGTAGAAAGAGAGGAGAATTAGAAATGAGTAGAGAAGAGAAATCATGTGGCTCATTCTAGTGGTCGTGTCCTATAGTCAGCGTGCGCTCTGATACCATCTTGTAGCGACCAGACCTCAAACGGTCAAGTATCTGTGCATCAGTGTCATCCCTGGATTGGTAATGCTGACACACACAACACTCGAGGAATTATAACATAGTTTCAATCACACACTTATTACATCGAGTCCTCATAAAGAGTATGATTACACAAAAATATCATGGCTGAAGGCCATCTAAACTAGATAACTGCGGAAGCTTCGAAGGTAAATGAGTCCATCAACTTCAACGGCATAGCTGAGTGCAAAACAACGACCTATTGCACCTTATTCATCGTCTGAGTAGTCTGCAATATGAGACGTTGCAGCCATGTAGGTCAGCACATTGAATATGCTGGAAGAGTTACACTGTAAGCAATGAAATGCAAGAACTATATTTTCATGCAATATTTGGCTGGTGGAGGCTGTAAGTTTCATGGTTTTGCATAAAGCTAGTTTTTCCCTACAACAAAGGAATAAATTTATTTAACTACTCCCGAGTTGCCCATTATTTGAGAAGGTAACCCCAACTCAAATTCCAATTAAAAATATCATCATTAACCCAATTCAAATTAATTTAAAGTAACGTGATGAGATCACATCAATAGATTCAAGTACTAGATACTCAAGATGTCCATAACCGGGGACCTGGCTAACCATGATTAGTTTATACACTCTGCAGAGGTTTGCGCATTTTTCCCCACAAGACTCGACCGCATCCATGATCGCATGATCGAGACATAGCCTTTCTGAAGCATTAACTATCTACTCCGGGTAGACAGTACCACCTACACCCCCTACATCTACTAGTCCACCTCTTCAAGAGCTCACGCAACTTACTCAACTACGCCAGAGCCCATAATGGCTTGTGGCTGCACACAGAATTTTCTAGTATGAATAATCTTATGATCCCTTTGAGCCTTGCTGGCATTCCATAGGATAATCACAGGGGTACTCCGGGATTTCCAAAAATAGGCAACACTAGGTTCCCCAAGTGCCTCAACCAATCCACCCAGCTATATATTAAAGTTGCCACCTTAACGTTATCCATGATTAAATAACTCTCAAACTTCCATGTGTAAATCATGATCCAATCCCCGTCTACGAGCATGGCTAAGCAATAAATAAGCATAACGTATATTTCTGGGGTGATCAACAGGTATTAGGTTCCTACCTCAAGCACTACAACCAAAACCACATGTTCCCAATCCAACTCATGCAAATATTTGAGGGGCAATACTAATGCATAGCAAAAATTGGATATAAAAGAGTATGACCAAAGTGTAACTTGCCTTGCTGACGATATGTAAACTCTAGAGATTCGTAGTAACAAGCTTCGCACTCCAGGTAATCTAGGTAATCTAGCGTAGACAAACAATAGCATACATAAGCAATCACTCAATCGAAACACGAGAAAAACCGAGAAAAGATCCAAATCGAACACGAAACAAGCAAATGGCTTAAACAAACAAGAGTCAAACCTAACAACAATGTTAACATGTGAATTAGATCTTAACAATAGGTACATGTGATTAGCTACGATTTGCGAAAAGATTCAACTCAAACGGAGCAACGAATCTCAAAACACGAATGAAACAAGAT